GTGAAATTTCGCATGTGGTGTGGCATTATGTCCGGGATGATGCACGTCTTTTTATTTTTACCGTAGCTGTTTTGATATTGAAGTAAATGCATATTTTAGAAACATCCCTACTTTTACAATCCTGTGGAATAGGCCGTAGGTTTAGGCAGTTGTCTGGTAGCAGAGGTACTGTAAGCAGATATCCTGGTTATCTGGCCGGCGGTAGTAACACTCGCGGTGCTTACCGCAACTGTTGCTGGAATTTGGCCTGTTCCAGGCGCGCTTAATTAGGTACAGGCACGTTAAGACGGTGGGGCTGTCTTTGTTACTAGACACGACCATGATAGTCCGATCTTTATGTGAATGCAATGATTGTGTGTGTGTAATTAGAATGAACTTCGAACTTGAAGCACAGTATCTTTACACGCCCTGGGAGCAGTAATGGATTTAGCTCTTTGTATGTTTTATGCTTGTGACGCGCCCTCATTGTATTAACCGTTGCCTAATTATAATGTCTGCACAGTAGGTCTAGCATGGTATCCAGTCTGATCGTGATTGGGGGTATTGGGGTGTTCAGGCAGGTTGTGTCGTCGGGGGCTCTAAGAGCTTCCCCCGCCCAGTGCAACAGACCGTCCCGGTAGGAGTGTTACGCTAATCAGAGACAGTATGCTTGGGGATTTGGTTTCCCCCAACACGATAGGAGGGCTAATTAATCTCTCGTGAAATACACACCGGGAAACCTATGTGAGGCGGGCGGGCCAGAGCTCTTACGGCCCCGAGCTCTTACGGCCCCGACCACGATCAGACTGGATACCAGGTTACAGTAGGTCTGGCGTTGACGCTTGTTTTTGTTGAAATGTATAAAACTTCACGGAGGATTGTCACCTATGGCTTCTTGTTTTGTTGTTGTCCCGAACATCCACCCGGTACGATCTCATTTTGAACGGTGCATATAATAATTTTTCAAAATCGGGGCATAGTTAACAGCATTGAAAGTACATGGCCTCTTGGAGAAAACATTTTTTCTGGGTGCAAGTTTTTGGAAAGCCACGATGCCCGGACACATCCACCCAAAGTAGCGGCCACTTTGCAACATGTCAAATATGCATGAGCAGTTCAACTTTACTGACACCAAACGTACGGCAGATTTACTGAGTCATCGTACTTGTACTTATGTAGGGAAAAGATCACCTCTTTTTTTAAAAAAGGTAAGTAATATTTTGGAACACGTAGCAGGTCGGAGATATGAGCTAGCGTTACTAGAAATAATTCGGGGTGAGCCTGGAACATGTGCCTGCACATTACGTGTTTCAAGTATTCCTTTTTCCAATGAAAATATGAAAACAATACCAGACAACAGTGTATTTTAGCATAATAAATCGTATTTCTCACAAAAAGTCCAAAATCCTACCACAGAAATGACAATTCAAGCTGGAAATAGTCCGTTCTGAATGAAGCACGTAAGGAGTGAACTCTTGAAAACTTCCCACGATTTGGAAGAGCCTACTTTGAGTATGGGGAAGCTATGATTTTTAAATGTGAATAAAACTCGTTCTTAAAAAATCACATATGGATGTTACATTATGGAACAGTTGAGTAATAAGTAAAAAGGTGTTGACATGACAAAACTTGCAATCTATTCATATCAAGTACACATCAAAATGTTTTAAAATGTCCATGTCCCCCTACTAGAGAATGAATCATTCTTCCAAGAACTTCATTTGCATACTAACACAAACTTCAAAGCTTGCTACATTCTGTAAGTGAAACCTGAGACCCTTGAGATTGTGGCAGTGTTGCAAATTCTCGTGTGAACTTTGTGTGTGACTTGTGGATTGTGTCAATTGTTTGAAAACTGATTGAAGTTTGGTATAAAAGTGAAATACCATTCAAAATCTAACATTATATTCTATATTTGATTCTTTTCCCTATGGCTTTTTACACATTACTGCAAATTTGTATAGAGCATTTATTTAGCATATTGTAAATTTCTGCTCAACTTCAAACTCTGTTCATGTAATTTTTCTTAACCTTAAAAAGTCAAGGACTCTTATTCCAAAACTTGATAGCATTGTTCCTGCTCAATGCATGCATGCAATGCAATGATCAACAACAAATTGTGTGAACTCAGAGTCAGATCTCAAGTTAGAATGTAGATGGATAATGTCATTAGACTGCACGACATATACAAAGGCAAATTGTACTTCTCATTAACCTGTAAGAATGCAGGCTGGTAATTTGGTAATTTTCCAGGGGTATGTTTATTCTGGGGGGGGGGGATATTTATTAGGTTTTGAAGATTTCTCGGGGGTACTTTTATTCCGGGGGTATGTTTATTTGGGACCTGTATTTGCAAGGGACACATACACCGTGAGAACACATTTTAGTAGCATACATTGCTTACACGTGTCAATTTAAAATTTTCCGGGGGGTACTTTTATTCCAGGGGGTACTTTTATTACATGTTGAAGATTTGTCCGGGGGGTACTTTTATTCCAGGGGGTACTTTTATTCGAGAGGTGAGAGTACATGGTCTGTGAAGCAAGGAAGAATGTTTTACAGAAGACCAGGCAAAACTACTTTAGAAAGGGGGGGTGGTTTTCATTGTCATCATGATAGACAGTACATTGTACATAACTTATGCAACTTACATGTAGGGCATACATATAAGTTACATGTATGTCACTAAAGTGTTTGTTAAACAACTTTTTGTTCTTGTCCCGTGTTGTTATATCATAAATTCTTCATGCCATTTTGATGTACATGTACATGTGCTGTTTACATTTTGTTTGAATTATTGCATTGTACTTAATTATTTTCTTTCTTTGTTTTTTGTTTGCATGTAGGAATCATTTCTTAACTATGAGAAGCTGAAGGTTTGTTGCATTTGATTGACTGATTTTCCACTTCTCATTTTGTGTGTTGTTTATATTGATACATTTGTCTACTTTCTTGTTGATTGTCACCTACAAAATGTACCTCTGATAATTTCCATTACTTTGATGAAGTCTGGGTAAGCAGACATAACTGGAAGTTGTGCACTAATGTATGATGTGAGATTCTCCATCATTGTGCACCTATCATTACAAGATAGATGTATGTATTCAGCATCTCACAAGTAAGAAAACATAATATAGTTGGTTAGCCTTGAGCTCCTTGGCAGCCATTCCAGGAGCAGTCTGCTTTTGTGTGTGTGTGGAGGGGGGGGGGGTTATTTGCAACTTGCATGATTATCTTGTCAAACGTACAAAGTCATGTAGATCCCCGCGCTTCAGCCGCCAGTCGTAGGTTCCAGGGATGGTTTTCTAGACTGTCTGCTCCTGGATTGCCTGCAAAGGAGGCTAATAGTGTTGGTTAGCAAGGAAACATTCCTGTCTTTTGTTTTAAAGCTTCTTGTTGTATTGCTGTAGTCTTCACATCCAGATGTGTGTGATATACATGTACATGTTTGACATACAGGAACAGAAGAGACGTGAACACCTGGAGTTGGAAGCCCAGCTGCAGGCAGGTCATCAGGAGCAGATGGTCATGTTCTCACAGGCATCGCAGGCCAGGCAGAACGTCATCACTGTCATGGCACAGGTCTGGTACACCATTTCAGATCACTGTTTCACAAAGCTTCTTGGAGCACACAACACCACGCTGTCTTGTTGTGTTTAAGGATCAAAAGTCCAGGGGTGCCAGAGTATACAGTGCAGAATAGTATTAGTATACAGTGCAATTTTACGGAATACAGTGCAATTTTACTAGTGACGACTTGAATCACGTGACTCAGACCCTGCTCTCCTTGAGTTTCAAGATGGCGGACGCTGATGACTCATATTTCTGTCTTTTTCGAGCAAAATCGAAATGATCCCTGTGTAGTAATATGCCCTGTATGTAGTATGTAGTGATTTGACTAGTAAAGGTCTATAGAACGGTCCAACGCTCAAAAAACACGGAAATATGTGAGTACGCTCCGTCAGCGGGTCCCTGGAAAGCCGGGCCCAGGTTACGTCATTCAATGTCATTAGTAAAATTGCAAGTTGTATTCCATAAAATTGCACTGTATTCCGTAAAATTGCACTGTATACTAAATTAATACGATTGCACTGTATTCCGTAAAATTGCACTGTAGACTCTGGCACCCCTGAAGTCAGGCATTTTTGGACACTTTCAAATTTTTAAAACAAAGACTTGGTCTTTTAAAAAGATCTTCTGAGACCATCAGACCCATATGTGTATATTTGATGCTAAAAGAGTGGCAAGTTAAAATGTCTAATCATAAGTGTTTTGCATATGGAGGTATAAGATCCTTAAATTCTGGTTTGTCTCTGAATTCTACTGTTTGAATGTCATCGTCAGGAACAAATGAGCAGAATGTTATGTTTACTGGTATGACAGGAGCAGGACAAGATGGATGGAGAATTGACAGATTTACAGAACCGGAAGGAACAGGAAAAACAGAGGCTTGTCCAATCCCTGCAAAGTGGTATGGAATTCATTTTTGCCAGACATTGTCTCAGGACATTTTGAAAACATTGTACAACTCAGGGCTTGAAATACTGGGTGCATGTGCACCTTTAAGTTAGTGCACCCAAAATTGAAGCTGTGCACCCAATTTTTTGCACCCAAATATTTTTGTAGGTATTTTTGTACATATCAAATGCATAATATGTACAGGATATTCTTGGCATCTACATGTAAGTGTCAGAAAAACAATGAAATATTTATTGTAAGTTGTAGTATTGTTTAAGATTTTGACGTTAGCTCCTGTTTTGTTACTCCGTGAAGGAGGTCAGGACCTCCGGACGGAGTGTTGTGATCGGCTGATTTTTCATGTTCGCAGTCAAAACACTGGGTTCTCTTTGTGTAATCGGCACGCAATTTTATACGCCGTCTGCGGGCATGCCCGTGTTGATGCACGAATGTGTATTTTTGCCGTTGCTGCTTTCGCGGTCAATGTAATATTGCAGACGCACCCCTACCATTACGAGGCGAATTGGAATGGTCCAGAAAAACGCGTTGTTTGGAATAGCAGTGGGGGGGTAAAAGTTCATGCAGATACGGGGTGGTTTTTATAAGTGGTTCCAGATGGTTTTGCCCATGGTTAAGAGATGCCAAGTTTTTTGGAAGATGTTCGCAGCCAAAACGCATTCTTCCGTACGTTGCATTTCTGTGTAATTTCGCATGTGGTGTTGCATTATGTCCGGGATGATGCACGTCTTTTTATTTTTACCGTAGCTGTTTTGATATTGGAGTAAATGCATATTTTAGAAACATCCCTACTTTTACAATCCTGTGGAATAGGCCGTAGGTTTAGGCAGTTGTCTGGTAGCAGAGGTTCTGTAAGCAGATATCCTG